AATAATTAGCAATTTTTATATAAAACTCTCACCTTTGCACCACAAATTCTAAAATCTCCTTGTATTCATATCATCTCTTTTCTTTTCCTTTAATAATGGAAAACATTTCCAGCTTCCCTCCAAGACTCATTTCACTATATGATCAGGATTCCATTCTTCCTGCCTTCTCAGAGATCCCATCTCTCTTCTTTTTGGCTCTCTGCTGGCTCATTAATTCCTATTATCATTTAAACATGTTCAAGTCTGCACCATACTAAAAGAAAACAAGGAGACAAATCTATCTAGCTTCATCTCTCTCTCCTCCTACCTTTACTTTCATCTTCCTTGTATGGTCTTTGTTAAATTAATTATCTCTATACACTGTCTTCCTTATTCATACTCATTGCATACTCTTCCTCAGTCTGCCTTCTACTTCCTATCCTTCCATTGAATTTCATTGTATTGTGGCTTTATGCTTTACATATAGTTACCCTTTTTAGTTGTCACCTTGCTTAATGTTTTGCCACAATTTTTTTTCAATATACCCTTTTCCCTTGATTTTCATAACAGCACACACTCTAGCTGTATTCTTTATTCATTTCTAGTTGTTTTTTCTCATTTGGTTTATGTCATCATCTGCTTTAATGGCTATCCATGATACCCAGCATACATTTTAAACTCTGTAGTCTGGCCTTTACCTCTCCAGCTTCATCCCTTGACATTCTCTTCTACTCTGTATTCTAGATATATCACTTTTATCACTTTTTTTTTTCAGTTTCTAAAGTGCATTGTGCTTTCTCTTGACTTCGAAGACTTCATGCTTATTGTTTCTCCAGTCTGGAATGCTGTCCCCTGCCCACTTTTAGAAACCAAATCATCCTTTGCTTGCCTGACATGAGTTTGCATGTACTTTCCTTCTTAAGTAGTTTAGTGACTCTAAATTAGGTTAGATTTCCATATGTTGCCCTGTAGTATCCTGTCCCTTTAGTGGAACACTCATTAAATTTTATTGCATTATATATTTTAGGTGCTTTTTTTTCCTATAAATTGTAGAGACCCTATTTTGTTTAGTTCACCATTGTATTTCCATCGGTGGAGGAATAAAATAACACATTTTCTTTAATGATTCTTGCTCATTTACATTCAAGAGGCATCACCATTCCTTCATTAGAAACTTTTTTTTTTTAATTATTAAGCCAGTGAATTTTCAAGTTCTGTCCAAATGTTTCTACAGGATACCTTGTTTAAAACAATAGTTTGCACAAAAACTAGAGAGCTCCAGGCATGCTATAGGGCTTTGGAGGGCAAGGACTTTTCCCATTTCTTCAGCCTTGCATGGATTTTTGAATGGAATAAATTGAACTTAAATGGGACAAAGAAATGTATTGATTCTGGAAATTATTTAAAATAGCTGCTCTTTAGATCTCCACTAAGAAGGTTCCAGTCTCTCACATTGACTAGCCTTATAACTAAGACTCCTTGTTTTGGCCTCAATTTCCTCATTCATAAAATTCTGATCCTGCAAGGCAGGCTAATCAAACACTGAAAGCTATACTCCATCAAGTTATTTACTAATATTGTATATTCTACCATTCAAAAGTATTTGGTCTCTGGTTTTATAAATGCATAATTTTAAAGATACTCATCTATGAATTCCACAGAATTAAGTAAATGCTATTCATTATGCAAGTTAAAAAGTTTTCTTTGCAGTTTTTAATTATATAGTTTTAATACCCTGGTATTTTAAGTTATTTTAGTCATTGTGTTCAGTTAAGGGCCAGAAAATGTGAAAGACCTGATTACAAAGGAAAATATTCTTTTTGCTGAACTTGTCTCACCTTAAAAAAAATTTTTTTTAAATGTTTATTTAGTTTTGAGAGAAAGAGAGCGCATGAACAGGGGAGGGGCAGAGAGAGAGAGAGGGAGATACAGAATCCAAAGTTCAGGTTCCAAGCTCTGAGCTGTCAGTACAGAGCCTGACATGGAGCTTGAACCCACAGACCATGGGATCATGACCTGAGCTGAAGTCGGAAGCTTAACTGAGTCACCCATGCACCCCTAACCTTACATTAAAAAAGTCTGGGGCGCCTGAGTGACTCAGTCGGTTAAGTCTCCGACTTCAGCTCAGGTCATAATCTCAAGGTTCATGGGTTCGAGCCCCACATCCGGCTCTGTGCAGACAGCTAGCTCAGAGCCTGGAACCTGCTTCGGATTCTGTATCTCCCTCTGTCTGATCCTCCCCTGCTCATGCTGTCTCTCTCAGAAATAAGTAAAACATTAAAAAATATTTAAAAAAGACTTAGTTATGAATTTGGAATATTTGTGATTGTGATGCACAAGTAATATTCCAAATTTACTTATTTAATATAAATTTTTTGTATTTTTCTTACTACACTGTAATGCTTCTTATTAAAATAAAACATTGGGACACCTGGGTGGTTCAGTTGGTTAAGTGTCTTACTTGATTTTGGATCAGGTCATGATCTCATGGTGCATGAGTTCAGTGCCCATGTCTGGCCCTGCACATGAACAGAGCCTGTTTGCGATTCTTTCTCTTTCTCTCTCTCTCAAAATAAATAAATGAACTTTAAAAACAAGCTTACATTTAGGTACAAATCAAGTATTCTTCCTTTCATATTTATTTGTTTTCTAGATTGTTGGTAGCAAAGGTTGTTCTCAAGTTAAGATACGGAGTCTCCCTTGAATTGCTGGCAGACCTTGGTGAGGAGACCAGCACAGTGTTTATCGGTTCTCAGCAGCAGCAGTGATTTCTGCCAGCAGTTCTCATCCTTTCACCCATAAAATAAGCATAAAATTGACCTAACATTGCCAGATCGGAACTGGTATCTGGAAAGAATCATCAGGGAATAGAAAATTTCAGTCTTTGTGCATAAATTTAAGATAGATTATTATATTTTTTATCAGAGACTTTTTTTTTCCTTTGCATTACTTGTGAAAAGTTGCTACAGATGTGTCAGATATGGTGTAAATCTAACAACATAGGCAGTATCTAAGTTTTAATCCACTTCAAAATATGGATGCATGTTATAATACATTTTTGAGTGCTGAAGTGTAAATTTCGTTTAATGAAAAGAAATAGGATATTTTCCACTAAATAATTAAAGCAGTTGATGCTGTTTTCATGAATTTACTTGTTCATTTTTTCTGAAATTACAGATGATACAGAAATGAAATGGGATGAGAAAAAGGGAGTTAGCAAAATATACTTGGATAAATGCTGTGAACAGGGGCAAACTATTATCTGTACAAGATAAATGTTCTGGTTTTAACACATAAATGTAAGAAATTTATCACAAACATTTTCGTAAATAACAGTTATAAAATTGAGATTGTTCAAAAGGGATATTTTAAATACATTGAATCTCTTTAACTCTGTTAATTATAAGAAAAAACTATGTTACATTTCTATATAATTGATTTGCTTAAATGGCCATTAGTGTATTAAATGTATCAAAATAATAACAATATTTCATGAAGATTCCATCATATAACTTTGGTTTTATGAGATTCAAATCTTAATAACTACCATTTTGGTAAAACTGACTCACGTATATATTTTCCAACATAACACACACTCATAACTCACACATAAATATTTTCCAACACAAGTCTTTCATGTCTTGAGTGTTTGTAAATGACCTATAATGCATGTCACATTCATTTTAGAAATATATATACTTTGTTTTACGTGAAGGCATAATTGTTTATTATTACCTTGTGAATTTATATTGCATTATTTTTATGCAAGATGATTAAATCTTAAATAAGATTTAATGATTTTAAATTTCTTATTTATATTGACTTATATAGAAATATTTTATTCCTTAATAAGTAAAAAGATTAATTATATAAAATATGCTTTCTTTTTAATTTAAAACAATTGAAAAAATTTTTTTGAACTTATTAATAAGCAATACAGCAAGAGGAGGTAGCTCATGCTAAAAATATTGCTAGGTAATTATTGAGTTTTAGAATTAAAACCATGAAGTTATATATTCTTGAACTATATTTTTATAAAAGCAACATGAAATGGTGGAAAATGTGGAATAAAACTAATTTTTTACTCTGAGACATAGAGTAATATTTTTAGTCTACTGAGTCTTTTTACTTGGAGTGGAATTCAAATCCTATTGTATCAATGTTATTTGTTACTTACATTATCTTGAGCTTTCAAAGGCTTTTTCAGAAGTAATATTATCCATCGTACACTATCCTTGAAAGCACATCTACAGGTAATCAGAAGTTTATTTTTGACAGAATTATAAAGCACACCACCAAGATATTTATTAGTACTAATTAAAAGGGCTTATTTTTAATATACTCAGTAGAAAAGAAATATTGTGAGAAACAATGAAAATGAAAAACCAGTGGGAATATAAAACAACATTGATTTTTATATATGAATAAGTAGATAAGATATATTGGAAAAACTTCTCTAAAAATAAGCTTGATGCCTTATACCTACCAACTTATATCTGCTATTTTAAAAAAGACTTTATAGAGTTGCAAATATAGGATCTTAAAAGTGAAATTTGGTATAAAGCACACATTATTACAGTGTTTATAAATCTTTATGTAGGATTTTAAGTGGAAATTTAAGGTGATATATTTTGGTCTAACTTCTAAGAACTATAGTGTATTTGATTACATATTTACCACATTTATGGTTTTCTTTTCAAACTAAAGTTAATGTGTTAAGTGTAGTTAACTCTGAAAAAACATATTTCAGAATTATAAAATCTAAAGTATATAATAAAAATGTTAGTTATGAAAATGATTTTTAATAATCTGATCAAGTTATTATTTTTATTTGTTCCTATTCCTCAAGGTCATTTAAAGATCAAAGTACTTTATTTTTAACCTCTTCAACTGTAAATGTTTAAAGAATAATTTTAAAAATATTTTGGGTGGCTTTGACAATTTTAAGATAACTTTACAAGAATGTTGGTGTAAATGTGTTCTTTGGCCTCTGTTTAATGCCATGTGTCAATTATTTACAGATCCGGTGGTATTGTGGAAATTCCCAGAGGACTTTGGCGACCAGGTTGGAACCACATAATTTTTTAAAAAAAGTTAAAATTGGAGTACTATAATTATTACTACTGTTACTGCAGCAACTACTACTGCACATGAATTACTATAAGTATTTTCTCTTGACCAGCTGTGAGGAAAAAGAAGCCATGTGTGCAGAATGTATATGGAATATCTTTTAAAGTTACCAAGTAGACATGGGTGATGAAGAAGCCCTTGTATTAAAACTGAATGTTTATAATTTCAACATATTTTTACACTCTTTTAATTTCTCTATGGACTATATTTGGAATTTTTAAATTTAAAAATTAAAAAAGTTTTTTTTTCATTAAAAAAATCCTGACAGTACCATACTTGGTTGAATATCCTCCTATTATTTCTCTTTGAAGTCAGTAGTAACAGCTGTAAATCCCAGATTGATTCTCTCCTTGTTACAGTAATGTCTGAATCATTTACATATATGTTAAATTGATGATATTTTTCACTTTTACATAATTCTTATCTCTCTTGATAAAAATGACTCTTAAAAAATAATGAGAGAATTCAGAATGAATTTATTCCATTTGTATTTAAAAAAGTGTTTTTAATATTTATTTATTTTTGAGAGAAGGAGAGAGAGAGAGACAGAGCATCAGCAGGGGGGTGCAGAGAGAGAGAAGGACACACAGAATCTGAAGCCGACTCCAGGTTCTGAGCTGTCAGCACAGAGCCCGACATGGGGGTCAAACTCACGAACCACAAGATCATGACCTGAGCTGAAGTCTGATATTTAATCTAGTGAGCCACCCAGGCGCCCCTATTCCATTTGTATTTTTAATTACAGTCTTTTATATAGTTCCTTAAGTATTTAGTCTGACCAAAATTATGAATTATTTTGACATGATCTATGTAAATAGAAAAATTTTTTAGAACTTAGTTTATCATTTTGAAATGGTTAAAATACAGATTTTAATTTTTATAGAAATCAGCACTTTTCTGGAACTCTGCTGAGCAGATTCATTTAGTATTTTTTTTTTTGTCTGCAGAGCAGTGGGATAAAACAATCTAATCACTGTTAAAATTATGAAATTATATTAGTAAAAGCTTAACCGTAAGTTAAGTTTATAGATATGATTCTTATGTGTCTCATAATTTATCAACATGAAAGCTGATAAAAGTATTGTTTAAAGCAGTTCATCCAGAAAAGGTAAATAAAAAAAATATTTGTTTAAAGAAGTTTATTGAGAAATGAGTATACAGAAAGATGTTTTTGATATGTGGAAGGATAACTTTTTACATGTGAAAATCTTTAGATAAGACTAGGAAATTACACTGAAAAAAATCAGTAAATGGGCATGTTAAATAATTCAATCTAATGCAATTCTTGACTATTTTTTACCTAAAAAGAGGGGCATGCTTTCTTAATTTGTTTTTAGCTCTTTAGAGAAAGAATAGATTTATAAATATCTTAAGTATGTAGAAGTCCCTATAGTGAAGACATGATTTGGGCATATGACATGGAATTGGGTTTGTTCCCAAGTAATGCATAATTTGATTAGAGCCTTACTGACTCAGTTTAGCCTTTTTAAATACTGTTCTTCTGGTCTTCTCAATTCTTTCTTGTCTGCTGACCCAAGAACAGACCTCCTGTCCAGGTCATGTTTTTTTTTTTTTTTTTTCTCTCTTTTAAACTGACCCTGCGGATTCCTAGGAGATCTGAAGATTCCTCACCTTGGGTTCACATGAAGGCAATCATCTATTTGTCGAGTTCAGCTGCAGTGAATTTTTCAGTGAGAGCAACTGTCGCTGTCCCTCTTTGTGATAGTCTAGTGATTAGGAATTTTTTACTTGGTCGAAATGTTGCTTTGAGCCCCAAATTTGTGAGATCAATGGAACATTAATAAGCCTTTGCACACTTAGTAAAATACAAAAGCAGTTAACCAGGTAATGGTGATGAAGGTCCAGAATTCCAATTCACAGCAGTTATACACTTTTTTGAAGGTTAGAGCTGAAAAGAGCTTTAGGCTTTGTTTAACCACTTTACTTTATATCTGAAGAAACCAGACTTTACATGGGAATCTAGCCAAGGACCTTGAAGAGTGATTTTGCTATATGCTTTTTGGTGAATATTCTGAATACTACAGATGGTTCAAGTACTCTGTGTATTTCTCATTCTTACTGCTTACTCTTGTCATATACTGTCTGCTTCTTGCTCAATAGCCTTTTCACTGGATCTGAGATTTGCTTCAGTAATAATAACGATTAAAAAGCTCTTTATTTAGCTCTTAACATGAACTGGGCAGTATATAATGTGCTTTAGGTGCATAATTAATTTTATCTAAAAATTCATCCAGTACTGCTAGGAGATAGCATCATTCCCAAACTGAGACTTAAGAAACTTACTTGAGATCACACTGTTTATCAGAGGCAGAGCTAAGATTTGGAGCCAAGTTTGTCTAATTCAAAATCATGTGCTGTTAGCAATTAAACTATATTCTTTCTGTTTAGAATGCTGACCCAGATCCTACTCACCTATTTTATTTTAGCTCTTTTGAAAATACTTTGGGGCACAGTCGGTTAAAGCCCAATTCTTGATCTTGGCTCAGGTCATGATCGCATGGTTCATAAGTTCGAGCCCCACTTGGGGCTCTGTGCTCATGTGTGGAGCCTGCTTGGGATTCTGTCTCCGCTTCTCTCTACCCCTACCTGACTTGTGCTCTCTCTCTTTCTCTGTTAAAATAAACTTTAAAAATTAAAAAAAAGACACTTCTTCTTAAAAAAATAGTTTATCATAACAGTTCCCCCACCCCCAGTATCATTATAATTTGAAACCAGCGTGTTATTTAATCCAAAGAAATAATACCGAATCATTACCCTTTGGTTCTTCTATATAGAGTTGTTGGTTCATCATAGGTATTGGTTTATCATCTGCCCCTCTGGTGTATTTTCCTTATTTAGTTGGTGGAAGAGCCAGTGGGACACCTCAGAATTATATTTCAGAAGTTTTAATTTGATTTTTTTTATGTGGTGGTAGGGAACAGTGCAGAATTTTGTATAAGGAAGTAGAAGATGAAACTGTAAATGTAAATGGGGCTGGGTTTTGGTAACATTAACAGCCTTGCTAAACAGTAGGTCCTTGTTAAGAACTTGAGAAGAGTGTGATACACAAGATAAGTATTAGGAAGATTAATTTGGAAGAGATTTCTGTGTGGATTGGTTGTGGGAGAAACTGGAAACAAGGAAATTAGTTTAGCTATTGTAGTAGTTCAGCTGAAGGCATCTGAAGGATCTGAAAGAGTTGGTTACCTTTGGAGTAAAAATGAAGATGAGTGTAAGGGGCGGAGAGCGGGGCTTCATGCAGAGGTGTTCTGAGGAGCATGGGGTAGAGAAGAGGAGTGATAAGAGGAATGAACTTGATTTTTGACACTCCAGGAAATGTTGAATTATCCCTCATCTGAGTGGTGAAAGGGGAGTTTGGGGATTGGAGAAGAATGGAGAAGTGTTTACAGCCAGAGGAAATACAAAGCTCTGAACAAATTTGAGGATTGCTAAACAGATTGAACTGATGTCTAGTTTATGTTTTGTAAATACATAGCGGGTTCTGGCCGAGAAGATTACTGCAGAAGACTTCCCCGTCCATGCCACTGATACTTGCAGTATCAGTTTTTACATCTGGGAGAGGTTCAGGCCTCTGTATAAAAGGAGTAATTCTGTTTCTTTTTGCTGCTCTCAAGGTACTCTCTCTCCTTTGCCCTTAGTTCTCTATTGTTCACTTTTTGCTTAATGGCTTGAGGCTGTTTTTCAGAATACTTAATTCCCCCTACTCTCTGCTTGTCATTTTCAAGATTCACGATTCTCTAGCTCATGCCATGCCCTCTTTGGGCCATTGTTAGTCTATGTTTCTTGTAGGAGAGGAGTCAGTCTTTGTCAGAAAAATACACTTTTAGAGAAGGGTCAGAAATAAAATCTTATAAATGCTGAAATCAAACAGATTCATGTTTAAATAATGCCTCTATGTTTGTATATTGAGACGTGTTGCCTTGGGCAGGGACTTAATCTCTCTTAATTCCTCATTTGCAAAATGGGACTGCTTTTACTGATCTGACAGAATTATGATAAGAAGGAAATGACCTGAAGTCTGTAAAGGACTCAGCATCATGACTGGCATATAGAAAACAGTCCATAAGTGTGAACTAATAGTTTTTTTTTAAATATTGCAAAGCCACAAATGTTTGTTTATTATGAGGCATAGATAAAACTGCTTTATGTAGACTGTCATTTTTATAGATGAATAACAAGTTTGAGAATTTTACTGCTTTTTAGACCTTCAGGAAGATTTATAATTTAATAGCAAAAAAGTATTAATATAATATATATAATTATAATATAATATATATTTAATTTATATTTAAGTATATTTAAAATATATGACATATAAATATATTTATATAATTTTATATAATAAAATTAAATAAATTTTAATAAAATTATATAAATAAATATATATATATAAATATAAATAAATATATATTAAATATATTAAATAAAAATATATTAAATATATATTATATAAAACATATTTAACATATAATTATAATATAATTTAATAGCAAAAAATATTAAATACTAATATTTAAAAATTCTTTCTAATGTGTGCTTTCTGACTTTCTGAAATTCCTGAAATTCCTGTTGACTTTCAACAATTCAATTCTGAATTGCTGTTTAACTGGCAAATGTTTATTACTCTTTATTTAGTTATTTTTTTTCAGGGTGGCTATCAGCAGAAGTCATAGAACCATGGAGCCACGATCTTTTAGTAATGGCCAAGGCATCAGAAATTGTTAAGACTGCTCAGTTTTTAGCTAGGAAAGAAGATTATGAAGAGCTGACCCTAGGTCATACTTCTTATTTACCTTCAGTCTTGTAGTACTTTTCCTATTTGCACATAAACTGCAGGCTGTTATGCTTCTGGGCCATTTCACATGCCACAGGTGACCTTTTCCCATGTCTCTGGTGTACTTTCTTCATAATGCA